ATGGAAATGTTAAGAGAATGGTTATATAAATGTAAAACCTTTAAACTCAGGTTGTAAACACTAAAATTTGAAAAAAAAAACACCTCCCGAAAGACGTCACTCACAAATGACTTATGCAGAAAATGCCACATTCTGCCAGAAACAATACAACATATAACTTCTGTTTGCATGCTCATGGTATAAACAAACTATTTACGTAGGCATAATCAAATAGCTAGTATAAAACATCAAGAGTATGCACAAAAACACAGATTCTTCAACATGCAAATACCTTAATACAAAAATACTACAAAGGCAGTATTAGAAAATCACATATAAAATATACTATGACAGAGCCATAATTATACATAAAACAATTTATCACAACAGACCAGACATCACTCTCATTGACAAACAATAAAATCACATTTATTATACATATCAATTTCAAACACTTACAAGGTACAAAGCACATGCACTGAAAAACCAGGAAGTAAAGAAAACTCGCCCAGAAAATAAGGCATCTGTAGAGGATGGATAGGATGTGCATTGTACCTGTTTTCCTTTTTTCTACGGTGTCATACACAGACGCAAAAGCCTGGACATGTTATAGGTGAATAGAAACATATACAACACACTATGGAAAGCCACTATATTAAGTACACATCATATTGTTAGGAAATTCCTGAGTACAGACACACACACACTGAGATTTATATAATTTTTGTTTTGCTTTGGTTGCTATGCCTTGATTCTGGTCGGGCATGTCATACAATAACCGGTGTCAACTGATTATAACCCACTACACCCACGATGATGATAATAATATTAATTGAACACTCTTAGTGTGTCTTACGTTCGCGCTTAATGCGTGGCATTTACCAAATTTTCTTTTACAGATATATAAGACGGTTTTCTTCTTGAAATCGTACTGGGAATTTCCCCTGTTGTTACAATTTCCTCGTGTTGTATTTCTCCTCCTAACAGACAAAACGTAACCTTTACATCATTTTGAAACAATAAATAAATAATGACAAATAAAAAAATGTCTTTTCAATTTATATATCGGAAAAAAACAAACTTGATACTATATAACCATATAATTTATTTCTGTATTTATATTAACCCAATACATTTTATATACCATATTATGTTGTATACGAATTTGAACAAGTTTTCAAATTTTTATTCTTTTTTCAGGAAAGTCCATATAACATTTTAAGCGATTATATAAGAAAACATCCGGAGAAGAATTTTCCTACTTTTGAAGAAGGAATTCATTATACATTACAACATAAATATGCATATGTTACAACTGAATCCTTTTTGGCATCAATAGATAGGACCAAGTATACATTTGTAATTTCGAAAGATTCATTAGTAACTAATTTAGTTGCGTTTCCAATGAAGAAAAATTTTAAATTTAAGAACATATTTAATAGGCAGTAAGTATATTATTTTATGTACAATTTATTAAAATACAAATTCTTATATAAATACATATAATAATAATTATGAACGTGACACGGGTTTTCAATCACTTTCCTATTTTTTGTTACAATTTTCGTGATATTTGGATTTACGTATGCATATTGTCAATCGTATTTTGAAAGGTAATATACCTGATACTTTCAAAATTGTTCTGCCAACATTCATTTTATGTTAAGAAACAGATATGAGTGTAAATGCACAATATTTATCTCTTTATTACGTTACAAATTTTAAAATTCACGTTAAAAGACCTATACGTTTTCATTGTCATCCAGTCCATATGTATATGCTTTAGTTTTGGGAAAGGTGTTATATATTGATAGAAGAAGATCGAGATCAAATTTGGAAAGCTGAGGGGTTCCAGATCACAATTAACTATATACGAAATTATGTTCTGGACCAAATATTATATGATCTTGTTAAAATAAAAGGATTAAAATTGGCTGCGCTGCTTTGCTTGCCTCACAATAAATAACTGTTTGTTTTTATTCATCTATTAATACGCCAAAAGGTTAATTATTAAAAGTTAATCTTTTGGCGTAAAAATTATTTTATTATGGCGTTTTAATTTATTATGTAATAAATTAATTTTCACTATATAATTAGAATAAGTTAAAATCAGACAATTTATTTTTATCTATAATTTGTTACAATATGTTGTTGTCAGTTAAAAACTTTAAATCAGCCAATGAAAGTGGAATCGTTCGATAGATTTTAAACATTGTTTATGTATATTTCAATTCTGATGACATTGAAATATAAAAAAAATGTAAAAATTTTAATCAATACATATTATAAAGGTAAATGTACAAAGTGCATGCCGCTAAAACTCAAAAAACTCAAAAAAAACTCCCGTTACAATCAAGGGTGTGGTAGCCTTTTATCCCTCATCCATGAAGAATGTTCCCGTTTTTACCTGAAGGACATGCTGTTGAAGATATAAGAGCTGGAAGTTTCGCCCTCTAGAAATTTCTAGAATAGTCCAGAACATTCGAAATTATTCAAGAGAACATTCCAGATTGTTCTGGGATGTTTTGGAATGAGACGGGTTGATAATAATAAAAATAAGCTTAGAGCCCAAACGATTAGAGGTAGAAAGTTGAAATTTAGTACATAGTTAGGGTACGGTCACGAGAACACACACTAAGAAGGGAATTTTCGAAATTCCCCTTCGCGGGCGATAGGGACAGGATTAATTCTTCAACAATGGAAGTGTTAAGGATATGTTAAGTAACAACGGTAATTTCAACAATGGAAGTATCAAGAATGGAAGTGTCAATAATGGAAGTGTTAAAAATGGAAATGTTAAGAGAAAGCAACGCGCAAGATTTACAGGCACAGATGCGGTTTTTTGCGTTTTTGCGGGATATCGAACATATTTTGAGATCCATCTAAAAATTCCTATAAATAGTCTGAAACAGGTAGACCTAATTCTTGCATTCTGTGAAAACAGGTAAGATTGGCTGTAATGTAATAATCTTAATGTTTGCTATTGTTACTTTTTGCCTGAGCAACGCCAGGCTTATCTGCTAGTATTATATATATGAATTTTATATAAACGTTTATGAAATCTATTAAATGATCTTACCATCATAACTTGAAATATTTTACAATTATCTGTTTCTTAAAGCTAGAATTCCTACTGAAATAATACGTCGTAGTGCGAATAAATGTGTATTTTAAATTACATTTGTTCAAAGCATTTTATTATTACCGATATAATTTGATTTAAGTATAATTCATATATTTATATGCATCTTTTCATGTTTGTAGACTAAGAAGAGTAATCGATGCTGGCATCTATGAGAAATTAATACAGAATTTTGAAGAATCACGCATTAATTCTGCTGAAACTTTTCATCCACTTGCTATTGATGATATCGTGGGCGCTTTTGCACTATTAATTACTGGTTTTACCATTTCTACGGTATTTTTGTTTGCTGAATTACTGTTCAAACTACTTCAAATTATATATGAAAAGAGACATTTTAAAAATTGACTTTAGAATCTGTATAATGTCTAAAAAACACTGCTCCGAAAAAAGAGTATTTCAGCCACCGTCAAATATTTTTAATACCTTTTATAGTTTTAGTGATGCGTAACTTGAATCTGGCAAAATAATTGGCTTAATCACGACTAATTTTAAGTGAAATGATGTTTATAAAACTTTTCATTTTGTTCAAAGTAACATATTTACTGGATATAAACCTACACATTGCCAATTTCCTAATCACATACAAATAAATTTAAGAAAATTATTTTTTGTATAATTCTATACATTAAAAACTAAAACACGTTCATGACTCTCTATCTGCAGAGACCAGCACTATTTTATTAACATGCTCTCATTCTACTTTCTCCTATACCGTTTTGCCACTTTAGAGTCTAATACAACTTTTCTTCATGCTCACCGAGGTTTGCTGGTACAAAATCTAAAATTTCATTTAGATTTTTTAACCGCCAACCTAGTTGTTTCTACTTTATTTTGCACAGCATTACTTTCTTGATGTCATAAATTTCTTTAATGTGAAAAGCGTGGGCAACCGGAATGGGCTGATATTTAGCGCCATTGTGAAGTTAAACTCTTTTTACATTAAAGTTTGTATTGTTAAGAAAGAGATTCTGTGGCACCTGAGGATTTTCCTACAAATGCGGTATATCATTGCTAAAATGTAGATAGACTTCGATTCAATAAGTTTTCCATTGTTTTATTTTATTTCTTTGTCGATTCTGGACATTAATCAAATATAATTTTTCCAGTTTTATATTATTGAGTAAACAAAAAGTTTGTCTAAAAAAATTTTTTATGCATAAAAGTAGTATTTTAAAAAATATTGGTTAATAAAAAGTTCTAAACCCGTGTTTTATATTTAGCACAAATACATAACAAGTCGGATTATTCACGAGACGATTCTGATGCAAAACAGTGTAATAAAGATATTTACATATATCTGTTCTGCAATTTAATTTTCTTTTATAATGGTTATATAGCTGTGTTATTAAATTATTAATGGCAATGGAATGATGGTAATGATGAGTAGTGCTCCTACTTTGAAAACTTCCTTTAACTTATTATATGATAATCGTTCCAATAATATACCGGATGATTATAAAACAAGTGTATCTATTTGGAGTTGTCCATAGCTGGGAGGAATAACTGAAATAAAATCATAATTAGTACACTTACTATTTAAGAACTGGAGAAAAGAATGGAACAAGTAAATAATTGTTAATAAAGGGTGTTATGAGCCTGTCATTTCTATCGCTCTTATAATCAAATGTTTAAAGTTGACATGTCACAAACCTAAGCGCTTTAAAAGATAGCATATCACAACATGTACGGAGCATTATTCCTAATGCGTTGCATTTTGAATTTGAGAATGTCTTGCTTTGTCTGGAATACCGGTATGTACCGGTACGTTTTTCCTGTACCGGTACTTTTTTAGAGTACCAATATGTACCAGTAAATTTTTTGTCGGTTTTTTTATATGCATCTATGATAAAATTGAATATATCTGCAATAGCTTGATAACCAAAACAATTCACTCGTCTTTCATCATGATTATTTGTGTGAGTTACCGTGGGTAAGGCCATGATCTTATCCCTTTACCAGCAACAGTTTAGTAAAAACTGCTCACTGTGTTAGTGGATGGCGTGTTTTGTTTTCCTGATCCCGCGGTATTGGGATCAATTTGTCAGGTCAAGTAGAAGAGGGTGACAGGGGTCGTCAGTAAGGCGGATGCAATATACAAGAAACAGACACCATAAACAAGAGTAATTAAGTGTTTAACGAATAACAATCAGTTAGTTATATAAAAAAAAAAATCTGAAATAACCTTTATAAACTGTCTTGTACAATAACAAGATTCCTAACCTCCTCGTACAGTTTAGAGCAGTGTTTTCCAACCATTTTTGTGCTATGCTCCACCTAAGTCTTTTTAAAATTCTTATGCCCCTCTAACATATACATCAGCTATACGGTTAACTTAAACTCTGGATGAGTCCATTTTCGAATAGCCCCTTTAACAATCCAATTGCCCCCCTGTGGGGTGTTGGCCCCATGTTGGTAAACACTAGTTTAGAGGGTCTGAAAAAAGTTTACACCGATTTTGATATCATAACTCTTTTCCTATACATTCTGAGGTTCAAACAGAAATCCTGTCTTGGAAACTTTTACACCAATTAATAGTTTCTGCCTGACTACTACAATGATCACAGATTACAATGTGACTGTGCACAAGTTCAAACGTTGAAAGAGAGACTGCTCTGGAGGGGAGTGTATCAGTCTTATACTCAGATCGGCATTGGAAAAATGGTCACGTGATCGCGTTTTGTCCATAACAAAAGATTGATTTTGCAGGTGTTGGATCAGAAGTGACAATGAGAAAATGGTGAAATTGGATGTCAACTGTACTCTTTGATACCTGCAACGTTAGGTTGACCATGTTTGTACGGGCGACTGTTGTCGTTTTCGAGGGAGTACTATAAACTTTTAGCAGTTGTTGACGATAAGAATGACATTCTACCCTTTTTTTCCGTCCATGTTAATTTAAATATCGCGTTAAAACTAACATTTAATCATGAACTCTATCCAAAAAGTTTATCAAATCATATTTCTTAAAAAATATACCTCAAAGTTGATTAGTTCATTACATGTATTTTTATAGTTAAAATAAAATATACCCCAAATGCATCAGGCCACTACTACTTTTGAGTTATGAATTTAATTTTTTAAATTTTTTATTTCTTTATGAATAAATATACATATACAGATAAGTAATAAATAAATTACATTATTTAAAATTGTTTCAAAATATGATGCATACGAAATTTGAAGCTATTTTATTTGTGTTCATATGTTTGTATTTTCACATAATAGCAGAATTTTAAATTGCTGAGTGTTGTCTATAGTTAAGACCCAAAACTTGCATATAAAAATAGACAAATGATTCTGTATTAGAATAAACGTTAAGCAGAAATGAATGGAAGAGTTGCAGCAATTTCGTTCGAATTAAATATAATTCAGTTATCATTAAGTAATTAAAAGTTTTCAAGTTATAAACCATAAATCAATAATGTAAAATATAGAAATGCTACTGTTTCTATTAATTTATTTGTAATAATTTTAATAAATATCTTACAAATATTAATTAATTTGTTACATTTGTAAAATAACACAAAACATTTCTAATTAAGAATAATAATTTGGATAGTGTACAGTTAATATACTGAGTTGTATAACAGCTTCCAACACAGGATGCTCTCTACAATATAAAAAATTGATTTCCGTGTTAAAGTTTTTATAAGCAACATGTCAAGCAACATTATAAAAAATCATTGAAACATTTACTTATAAATAATTTCTATTATTTATAAGCTTCTATTGAAGATGTGACTAAGTCTATTTATTTTTATTTTGTCAAGTAACGATATTGAAGATGTGACTAAGTCTATTTATTTTTATTTTGTCAAGTAACCATTTCATTAGATTTTATAAAACAGCCATATGTGAGTGAATTATCTTCACAATAATGTATTGTAATATCATCTAATAACTTTACATATTTTGTGAAATAATAAACATGATAATTATTTTATCTAAAAATAAACTTAGTTCTTGGTGCAATTCTAATTGTAGCTTTAATGTGTTTATAGAAATACAGTGTATAATTTTTCAGATATTGATATTTACTTATTTTTTCTTAAAATAATCTAAATTATTTCCTTTTAAATAATTTTTCAACAACTAGAGTTATAACAGAAATACTATATCCAAACAACAATAATATCAAGGCGCTGCTAATGTCTTCCATACTAAGGGTAATGAAATGTTTCTTTGTTGTTGCTTCTCTTTGCAGGCAAATCCTTCTCTTTCAATTTTTCGTATATCCCATTATCTACTAATCTTCTGATTCTACATTAAAAAAATGAATATTACTTTAATTAAATGTTACATTATTTATTATTTGAGAAAAAGTTTCAAATAAGTGATTTTTTAAATTAGTAGAACTGATATTTATTTCTTGTAGGAAATATAGAAAAAATGTTTTTATGGATAGGAAACATAGATATACAAAATAATTATTAACATTTCAATCAATCAACTTTACAAATATAATTTTCATTTGTATTATGAAATTATTTTCGAATGACTTCAAGTGAAAAAGTCTATATACAGTCAAGCCCCCTATAACATGGTACATACGTTTCGTTCTTTATGAAATTCATGATTTACGAGTCCTTATATACACGAGCCAATCGCAGCCTGGCACGAATGGAGTTTACGGACTATGGCTGTTTGAAAGGTTTTCTTTCATAAAATTAACCGATTCTAGACTAATTTGGCTCAGCATTTTCAAAACACGTATAATTTTTGGAAAATAATACGTATAAACTATGCTATAAACAAAAAAATTTACAATTACTTACCAAGTGTGCACCGTTCGACAACGCCATTGCTTAAGCTTGTTTCCGTCGCGGAGCGGCACATCGAATGAGGGCGCGCTTGTTTTTTGATAAATTATTTTTCTGCGAAAAATTTGCTCAACTTCGGAGACATCATTAATATAAATATAATATTTATAGCCATTATTAATAAATAGTTTTTAGTAAGTCCGCTGCTCGTTTAAACTCAACGGTTTGTGCAATATTCGCTGTTGGTCTAGATTCGACCAATCCTGTCGCGACACGAATCGGCAATGACCTTTTACCGTTATATAGGAGTCTCTTTTAGCGTGTTTATACGAATACGGTCGCAATATTTTCGCCGTTATATACGAATCCGTACTATATGAACCTGTTTTATAGGGGGTGTACTGTAATGTAATAATAGGCATTAGATCATTAGAACGTACAATAAAAGTAGTTAAGTAAAAACTATATCAAAAATGCGTATAAGATATGATTTGTGGCTTAATAAACAATCTCATAAAATCTTAGATATAGGAAATATTTTCATATTGTTGTTGTAGTAGTTAAGGTAATAATTACTTCTACCTC